CCCCAAAACCCCAAAACCCCAAAACCCCTGATTATTCCTTACTTATTGATGAATTATAATTTTTGAAGTTTAATGCAATATTCTAAAATTAGTGAACATTTTCTTGAGCCATTTCCTTCATTATCTTTCTATGTCTTTCTTTTCTTTCAACCTCTTCCTTCTCCTTGTCATCATCATCGCTATCAAACAAGCTATGCATATCTCTTCTAGGTTTCTTCGTCCCCAAAACTTCGGCTTCATCATCTTCTTTAGGTTTGCTATCCTCAAAATCATCTTTATAAACTTCTTGTTTCTTTTTAGCTTCTTTTTGGTTCACCTTCTTATCAAGAGACATTAATTCTTTGAACAGATTATTTGAATATTTATTATCGGTATTTCCGTCTCTAGCATCTTTAAGTTCTTTATTCATTTCATCCTGCTTTTTCTTGACTATATTCTGTCTGTATTCGAGGAGTCTTTTCTTTCTATCCTCTATAGACTCTTTTCCATCTTCTTCTTTCTTGTCTTCTTTATCTTCTTGACCTCCGCCCATTTTATTTAGTTTCTCCTTGAGCATTTCAGCCATTGTCTTAGGCTTGCCTTCTTCCTTCTTATTCCATGGATCAAAGTCAATATCGTCTGCATATGGGTCGTACGTACTCTGCTTCTTATTTTTGCCAAAAATGTCATTAGAAGCTTCTCTCAGAATATCTACATCAGCTGCCATCATTGCTGCATTCTTTGTTTTACTCACAGGAGGAAGATCATACATGGCTTCTCCTGGTTTATGTGGGTCAATTACTGGCTCTTCTCTCTTCTTCTCTTTAATAATCTTCTTCTTTGGCTTCTTTACTACTACAGGAGCAGTTACTACCTTAGGGGGTTCAGGTGCAACTGTTTCAGATTTCATTGTAGCTAGTTCTTGTTCTTTCTTTTTATTTAGTTCATCTAGTTTCTTTTGTTTTTCTAACCTCTTTTTCTCCTTTCTAATTCTTTTCTCTTCCGCTTTCAATTCTTTTTCTTTTCTCTTAAGCTCTTCTTCCTTTTGCTTCATAATATCCTCTTTATTATGCAATTCTTCTGTCTTCTTTCTCTCTAGTGCTTTGATTTCTTCTTGGTGTTCTTTAGAAGAAAGTTCTAAAACTTGTTTAAGGATCTGTTCTTCTTCATCCTGAATCTTCTTCCTCTCCTCTTCTTCTCTGATTGACATCTGTCTGATTATTTCCATCTGCTCTTCTTCATATTCGTTCATTTTTCCATCTTTAGGTTCAGTATTTGTTCTAGATTTTTCTGCAATATCTCCTTCAGGTGTTGTTTTAACTGGATCCATTGGTGATGGTGTAGCTAAATCACTTGGAAGCTTAGTCTCTTTGGAAGCGCTCATAAAAGAGTTTAGATCTTTGTTATCTTGCTGCTGAAGGATTTTAAATGCTGCTTCGTTTAAAGCGGCGTTCTTTTTGCGCATCATCTTTGCAAAAATTTCATAATTATCTATTGATTCTATTATTTTAGAGATCTTTTGATATCCTGGAGTAGTAGAGGCCTTTGCAAATGCCTCTCCAAACATTTCAGATGTTGCTCCCAACTCCCACAGCATTGCTTCGATTAGTTTTTCGGCCAGCTCCTTAAATTCTTTATGTATTATTGTATATTCCAATTTATTTTCCTCTTCGTCATCAAAGACTATACATTTCTCCTCAATAAATGATAAAACGGGTGCCTTCCATTCAGCGGAATGGAAAAATGAGAGGATTAAGTCAATTAGCCAGGATTTATCTTCTGTTGCGTCTTTACTCATTTTTTAGTTCTTAATTACGTTTCAAATTATTTAACTCTATCTGGGGTTTTGGGGTTTTGGGGTTTTGGGG